TTCCCCTTTCCTCCCTCTTCCCTCTTCCCTCTTTCTCCTTTATTTCACTCTCCCTTTCTGTTTATTCTTTCTATTTACACGGACCACCTTCCCTTGTATCATTGTACTGTTGACCCATCCGGCTCGGACACCCCAGGCGACCTCCTGCTATGCCCAGCATGCGCGGACGCCCTCGGGATCCCCCGTGGGGATACCCGGATGGCTGCGGCCCTCTCCACAGATGACGTGGCACCCGTCACGTGACCCAAGCCGCATGTACATAAATGTACCTGAAGTGGGAACTGAAGAAGTAACCTTCTTCTCACGTTTTCCACTTCAGGTAAGTAGTGTAGTTCTTCCTTTTAATAACAATTCACGTTTTCCACTTCAGTCTAAGTGGCCAGGGACTACAGTCCCAGATCGGGCCCGTCAGTACGCGTGCCTGCTTCGTCCCCCGAGAGGGTCCCTCTGCCGGGCGCTACAGCCGGGCCCCCTCCACCCCGGACGCGTCCCTGACAGAGTCCTACTCATAGTCCAGCTTCGAGATCAAGTGTCGCTCATCAACAGACGTAACAACTGTGCAACACAATACTTGTATTAGTAAACCGAGAGCATCAAAGCATGAAAACAATGGTGAGTAAGAACACAAAGGGAAAGAGAAGGGAAAGAGAAAGGTTGGGTGGTGATCACACCTCAAAGTGCTCCTGCCTCCCAAAGCAAGTGTGTGCAGCCCAGGTACCTTGCCTTGGCAACCTTTGTGCCAGGCAACCTTCAGCCCTGACCGCAAGTGGCGTTGGGCTGCAGTTCCCAACACATGAGTCTTGTCAGCGAGTGTCAGAGTCCGCGTGTCAGTTCGCGCATAAGAATCTCCCCGGGAAACTAGTCGTTGTAAAAGCTGGGGGGCCAACCCAGCTGGCGATAAGGCCTTATATACATGAGTTCCGCAACTCATAAGAGCGCGGCTACATTGGGAACACATGGTAGCCGATAGAGAAGCGACATGAAATAGGAGAATAGATCATGCGGATAAGGGGGCGATAACGGGTGGGGGATGACGCGATAGCGGAAATAGCGCATTGAATACAGCCTGCATTCTAACTACGGCAAATCACACGCAGATATCGGCTTACGGGTACTCAACCTATCCGGATAGGGGTCCGGGCCAGCCGGATAACCGTCCGTGCCCTGACAGCGAGCTCCTCATGAGGATGTCTTCTGAAAACAACATCCTGTACATTCTCACAACCTGTGTTGGAAATCCCCAGGGGATACGCCAGGTCTTTCCAACCTGATCTTGGCCTCCTCTTGCAGTTGGCCTGCTTATTCTGGGGGAGGAGAATTGTCCATTGTTGTCCCAGAATGCATGGGAGGAATTTTCAGTACCAGATGAGTTCAGTGGAGTCCAGAGAATTGCACCCTGTACTATGGGCCAGATGAAGCTAGACATCTTGTGCCTTCTCTGGCTAACCACCTCCAAACTTTGCCTCATTTGAATCTAAAGGTGTCAAGGGTGTAAATGTCATTCCACCTATCTCCATGATTTTACCGCATGTACCATCTTTCCCATCCATTTCTTCTCTGCCGATGCATTTGGTTTCACCTCCTGCCCCAAGTTTCCCCCCATTGCTGCCCCATCCATCACCCCCACTCCTGCTCTACCTCCCGTGTCATCTCATTACCCACCAACGCCATACCTGCATCACTCTGCTCCCCTGAGGATATGGCGAAAGCTAAGAAGGCTGCGAAGTACGCTATTAATGCGCTTGATTATGATGATCTTGATACAGCCAGGAAAGAACTCGTAAAGGCATTGGCTATTTGAGTTCCTCATTGGTGTTCTCCGGTTTGAGACTATGCGCTCTGTACACCTTTCACTCCACTGAAGGAGTGGAGCTGGATCACCTCATGTAACCAGTTTCCTACATCCAATAACAATATTAGAGTTTGTGCTGATTTGCTTACTGACCGTGTTTTGGTTGCCAAATATATAATTGTTCACTGTCTAAACAACAATAAACACCCCCCAACGATCTCACCTGACATATAGATCATCTATGGATAAAATTCTATATTGACTTTACTATGATTTCTAGTCAATATTACACCTAGATATACCACTTTTCAGTAGGACATGATTTTCCTGATAATTTACTGAAGGAAAACTACTAATAAAATAAATAAATGTTACTCAATACAGGAGTGACCAAACTGCGTTTTCTATCGCTTAGAGTGCATGCTAGTTCTCTAGCAGGTTCAGGATCACTCACTTTTCTCCTGTGGTGTGATAACCAAGTATTACTGAGAGATTATTCAATTAAGAAGTCCCTCCACCAAATTCTGACTAATTCTCACTATGACACTTTTGTTCAGCTGTGTCTAACTGACCCTAACTCACGCTTAGAGTGACGTGTTAGTTTTATATTAGCTAACAACTAATATTTGCTTTTATCTTTTGGAGCAAACAAACCAACCACTGGTGAGAATTAAACTTATATTTCTACCTGAGGTTTGAGAGGGGGCAGAAGCGGTGGCCTTTTATGCTTTTCAGAGACCTCTCTACTCCCACGCCTCGCACTAGTTACATGTGCTACATTTGTATTATAGATAGTTCTAGAATGATATAGGGGCTTGGGCTGTGTAAGCTTAATAATGGACTTAGGACATGACTCAGCAATAAGTAATTCAGTTCTTTGTCTTTTGGGTCGATCTTAGCGGGGTCTTGTAGTGCTACAGCTATGCTCTACACCGCCTTAATTACGAACGGTTATCTTTAGAAATGACTCAGCTATAAAGGAACTTTCTAGACTGTTCTCTAATTCACCCCTTTTTGTGAAGCTGCATCATTATTAATGTTCTAGAGCTTTCCCAATTAATTAACTGATCCGCGGACTTCTGAATCACTTTATGCTTATAATTCGAGATCCATATCATCAATCATTCCTTTGTTCCGATTTTTTTTGAGCTTAAAATCAAAAGGTTTTGATGAATCATGGGAAAATATATGGGATCCGGTTTTTTAGCATTTTCTCCTCTTCTGATGCGATCAAAAACTGTCCGTCCGCGCCGGGGAATACTCTGCCATATGGTATTCGGTCCGCCAAACTTCCGGGCATCAATATATTTCCCTTGAGTCACATTACTTTTTGTAAGAATTAGCAAACAAATATATATATGAATTATAAGGTGTTTTGCCGTTTGAGCGATATCTCCGTCAGTGTTGAAGCTTTTAGAATGAAACAAAACCGTGGATAAAGTTTAGAAACAGTCCTTTTAGATGGTAAAAAGATTACAGTCAAAGGTCTACTGGTTCCCGAGATATTCACATTTCTTTCCCAATGTTCCTTCTTATTCTGCCATCTATGTGCTATTTTCTTGTTGTAGGGATATATTCTTTGAATATTATATTTTCCTACACCTATGCCAGGTTCTAGGCATGCTTGTAGTAGCTTAAATCTCCTGCTACATGGGTGTGGATAATTATAATGATCTTCTAATGTCTGTCCAGTCTCATAAAGATCATGAGATCTGTTAAACATCTGAACTTGTCACCTGATTGTTGACTATTCTGATAGATCATTGTTTTATTCTTTGAATATTATTTCTCCTACACTGCCTAGTTTTTTTTTGGGTTTCATGCATTCATCTTTATCTCGACCCTCGTCCCATACATCATTGTAGCACATCCACACTCTTTGTTACAAGGATGGGGAGAATTCCCCTTTCCTCGATCCATTCTTATAGAGGGATGATGTCCATTGTATCTAGTCTGTACCATAATGGGATATGCAATCGATGAGTGTTCCCAGTCTTGCATGGGAGTGGACGATCGAATTCCCATCGATCGTGGTTCGTGATGGAGTGAGCTATTAAGGAATTGATGGTAGGTAGTCAGAGACATCAGGATGGATGGGTCAGCCATGGGTACTTGGTGCTCCTCAATGGAGTGTACTGTGTGCACAGTCGTGACTCGCGAGATGGGTGAAGACTTTGTATAGTTGCCATTGGTTACTTGGCGTTCGCAACGCGAACCTACCGGTAGCGGGTTGATATCATGAGCGTACAATGAGGCATGACTAGTGGGGCCTTCGGTGACTTGGCGTTCCCAAAGGGAACATACCGTTGGCAAGGGAATATGATGGCTGATGGGGGAGGGAACAGACAATGGATGGATGGCTACTTGGCACTCGCATAGCGAGCGTACCGGCATCATGGGAACGTGGGCCTCAGAGTATTCATGATCTCCAAGATTGTGGTATGACGTCAACCATCGGGCACTGGGGGGAGAGCTGAGTGATGAAGTCCCATAGGATGATATACAGGTCGAGAGTCTTCGACTTGCGACTTCGAGTTCTCGCAGTGAGGGCCGCTGGAGGACTCGACATAACGAGACTTATAGGACATGTTGAGAGTTGTACAATCACATGGGTTCAGTTGAGTCACAAGGAGGGGTTGTTACAAGGGACGGCACACATGACAGTTGTAGTTAGTAGTTAACAGGAACTGCCTTCGGCAGTTTCCGTACATGACGTGTGACTATCTACAAATGGAAAGGTCACAGGAAATCCCACGAAACATAAACAACCTCGGCCAGCACCAAAACCCCAATGGGGAAAGCTTTGCACGAGGGGGGGGAAAGAAGTAGAACAGGCAAGGAAGATAAGGTATCAGGATAGAAGATGAAAGAGAGAGAGAGAGAGGGAGAGAGGGAGAGGGGGGAGCAATGGAGATGGGAAGTCTTTGACTATGTGACAGATATGGTCATTGGAGACTCTGTATCCATAACACTCTTCCTCATCCCATTGTTGTCTCTGTTCGTCTCAATCTACCCCTACCTTGGGGCTTTGCTGTCAGCTACAGGTTTTGTCTGTCTTAAATCCATCTAGCACCAAAAGTGGACTGATATTCTGACCAGTATATCTTGCTTTTCTTTTCTTTTCTTTTCTTTTCCCTTTAACCACATATCCACCCATTCTAGTAGTACTAGTACGGTTGATTGACTCCGATCAATTCCTTTGTATCCCTTATTCTATTCCATTTCCCATGATTCCCCTGCTTCCTAATGATGGTCTTTTTTCTGCATTTGCACCATTGCCTTTCGGGTCTGTGCTGTATGTGATTTTTGACCATTTTTGCCGATTTGATTCCTGTTGGAATTTGCACATGGTCTTTTAGGGAAACCTAAAAGTTGGACATACTGGGAATCGAACTCCAGTCCTCTGGATTGCGAACTCAGTGTGCACAGCCATTACACCATACGCCCTGTTAGGCTGAGGTGGTTATTTCAACAATTCCTTTGCTGTTACCATTTCAACCAATTTCTATGCAAGTTGTTGGGGCCCAGATCGGACCATGTGTAGCACCATGCATAAGAGCGCACGGAGAAGGTTGTTGCATTGATATGTGGCAGTGCAGCTGTCCCACAGCACCACAGCCTGGGGGATCGGCGATACATAGTAAGGGTGCCTGGTTGGTATGGTGGTGTACCTACAGTGTTTATGAACCTCCACCTCTTCCACGTGCTCCAGGTCGATCATGCTCCCCCTTCCCTTGGGTGGTGCAGCATGGCACCTGTTCCTTGGGTCGATTTCTGGAAGAGCATACAGTAGGACACCTAGGGATGGGGATGGCCAAGGGTGGTGGATAGTGATGGAGGATAGTTTGATGACAACATTGCACTTTCAGGGGTGTGGGTGTCAAGTGTTGGTCAGGTCAATGCCACAGCCTCAGGTTTGCTGGAGCTAATTATAATCGGTCAATGGCATAGCACTTGGGCGAGCATGTCGAAATTAATTGCGAAGGGACGCTAACCACCAGATACTGGGCAAATGACAGCCACTTCTTCACCCTTGAAGTAAACTTCATTCACATCCCGTTCATCTCAGCATCCACACTCCACAAACTCTTGTTCAAGACATCCTGTAGAGCAGGGTGACATTCCACTGGAAGACAAGCGAGCTGACCAAGTGTGAGTGAAGTATCTGGGAAAGGAATCATCTTGGTGTGGAGACCTGTTGCGGATTGAGCAGCTGCAAAGTACAGCAAACTGGTTCCCAGTGTTCTGAGCAGCTGGCAAGGATCTGGACATGACCGATAAAACACACTGAACTCGTGTTGATCTTTTGATCTAATTTGGAGTTTGTGGGAAAGTGTCTGAAATATTGATATTTAATGGAGGTACGAGATTAAATTAGACTTGTGTGCACTCAGTCTAAATGCACTCTTGTTCTCTTTTCACACATGGCATTTTTCCTGGTGGTGCTTAATCTTATGCACCGTACCTGCTGTCAGCCTTATGCATAACTGTGCCTTCTGAGGTTACAGTCATGCCGATTCAGGTTTATTGCCACTGCATTCCTGGGTCGATTCTTCCAGACAATCTCATACGTGAGTTTCATCCACCTATGCTACAGGGCTCTGGCCCTCTTATACCTTATCCTCTGCTGAAGGCATGATCTTTCTTAGTCTTTTCTTTTGACCTGTATGCTGTTTTTTGATGAAGTCTTTCCTTCATCTTCCTTGCTTCCAGTAAGCCTTTCAGTCTCACCGAGGGGGAGGTGTTGTGACCTTCGGTTACTCTTGGTGGGTGGGATCCCGATTGCTTACTTAGGTTTGTTGGAATATGGGATGGAGTAACCTCCCTAACCATCAGGACCTCCCTGGCATAACGGGTGAGTAGTGTATGGATGCACACTAGAGGTCCTGGGTTCGATACCAGGCTTGTCCATTTTATGTCATTTGTCCAGTCACCTGGTTTATATCATTTGGATATCACGGAGTAAGTCCGGGAAGGCAATGTGCAATTTCTTCAAGGTTTTTCTAGGTTTCCTTTTTTCAGTTGTTTCCTTGCTCACTGTAACTTCTGTCTTTCCTTCCTTATTGCTCGTCATCCTTGTTTTTTGCGAAGGTGCTGCAACCCAATGGCCTTATTTGTTTGTTTGTTTTATTCTGGATATTTAACCTGCAAAACTTCAGGCTTCCAGGGATGTCAGCCTGCTTGCGCAACCATGTATGGCTAAGAGCAGTGCTGCGACATGGGACACACCTAATTGAACGAACTGATTCTTCAGCCTCAGGACCCAGACTCACATAAGTGTGTATTTGGCATATTCAGATTCAGCTGAAGGACGCAAGTACCTCCACCCACTGCAAGACCGATACATTCACAACACGGCCCTGAAGGGGAATGGACTATAAGAAGCGGCGCGCGTAGGGCTGTGCATGAGCGGCAAACTGACCTGAGACCGATGAGGCCGAGGATGAGTCAATATACAGGCTCTTCATCCTGACCCAATTACCCATGGAACGCTAAAATCCGGCTTCCGCGAACAAAAGTCCCATGTAATCTCGTACCTCCATTAAGTCACAAATGTTCAGCCTGCAAACCACAAGTGCAGTCGTCGGTCTTCGGTATAACACGCCAAATTAAACGCATGGGATATGATTCGGCCAACTCCGCTAAGCCACAGCTAAGGCCATCGGGTCCTATGAGACAAAGACGGAATTCTGACCCTTGCGGACCTCCTGTGGAAGGAAGAGGGGATCAAGTGAGTGGCAGGATTCTTAAATGAGAGCAGAGCATATGAAAAGAAAAACGCTACTTAGGAGACAACGGAGGAAAACCAAAACCCAAGAGATAACGCCCGCTCGTGAAGCGGAACCCCTCCCATCTTTGGCGCTGGCAACACAATATCCGAACATCTGTAAGTGACGACTCACCAGGGGAATATGGTCTGGGCTTCATTCGGACGAAGAAGGACGACTTATCTGTTATTTTTACTTTATTTGCGTGTATTTTTCTCGAGACCCCTGCCCTCGGCGCTCGTGTGAGCATCCCACCTCGCTCTGTGGGAACTATGCCTCCGACAGGGCTCTTATATCCAAAAGATTGACTTAAAGACAAATGGAGGACTCATCAAATCTATCCCGGGACTAAGTCCGCCCAACACACCTCGTATGCAGTTGGATCCTAACAGTTGTTCGTCAGTTTTATTACGATCTGAAACGAACGGCCTCATTTTTTCTTCGGGCCCAAGGGGTGCTTCCAAATCGGTAAGGTTCGGAGTGATTGGGAGTGAAACGTTCCATTTATCGTACAGCTCCATTGAAATATCGACTGCAGACAAGTGAGGAGTTTGGCCATAAAATACAAAGTCACAAAGACCTACCCGGATCCTCACGCTTCCTCTTTCCGTCATGAGGCAATTGGACGATGAGATGGAGATGCCTTTTCTCGGGATCTTCCTGCCAGTATTTGGATATCCTGTCTTCAGGGTCGAGAATCTGCACGGGGCCGTTTCCCTCCAGTGCCACGTCGCATTCAGGATCAGGGAACTCATCCTTTGACGGAAAGCTATTTTTTCGGCTCCTGTAACCTCCCTTGGTATCGGCGATGAGAGCTTCCACAAAACCAGCTGGTTTACATCCAGATGATCCAGTTGGTGGGCTAATTTAGACTTGATACTGTCGCAAAGGAAGTCAACAGATTCGCGAGGCGACACATCCAGAGAAAAAAACACGGCACCGAGATGATTTCTTCCACCGTCAACCGCCAAGTAATGGAAGTGGCCATGGGCAACTATTCTCGGAAAATCGGCAACAGCCGTTGTGATGGTACTTTTAGTAAACTGTGCCAACTTCACATAATCATCACAGAGCCGATGAATGCTGACATCACAATAAATGACTCAATCGGCTTGCACGAGGCGCGAGGATGCCGATTACCATCATCTCAAACTAATCTCTCACGCCAGGAAGACCGCACCTGCAGAAATAGATCCATTCTCCCAGCCCAATCACACTAGTACGATTTCTGACCATGAATATTTTTGCGTTGTGCTGGGATATGAGTTTGCCCAACGACCATGGCAACCTGTTCCGTGGGCCGATTGGTGGCACAAAATCAAACAAGATGCCTGAGCTGCATGAAGTGTTATGGCTTCTTTCACTCAGTGGGCATCCGTGAGCACCGGATGGTGTTGTGCTATACATTCCATGTTACGCTGACAATATCTCTGTGACCCAGCCGGCTGCAGGCCTCGCTCGTGTTGCTGTGAATTTTCGTAAAACAGATTTTTTGCGCTGTTTAACTTCGACCGTAGGCTTGTTGGGTTACCCAGCACTGGTGCCGTCGAACCATCATCAAAGCAAGATTACCAACGCAGCGCAGGGCTCGACACCAGTGCAGGGAAAGTGAGGAGAAACCGATTGCAAACACTCCATCATATTTGGCGAAACTAATGAAAATTCGCGGTTTTCGAGCAACAGTGGAATGTGTACTGACAGCCTGTTTCCAAGGCGATCATAACTCGCCCCTGCTTTAAGTAATAAGTCTGCTTGAGCGCTCACATGAGCGCTGACAGCTCATGCATTATTCATGTAGAATGGGTAATCTTCCTCTAAACACAGTGAGGATCACAGAAATACAATCCGAGTCTTTATTTAAACACATGATAAGGATGCAGCCTGGATGTGCTGGTAATGCTCCTTTATAATTTGGACAAAGTCTGCAACCCCACGGTAGGCTAACAGGTCAAATTGTACCAAGCGCAGAGTCTCTTGAAATTCATCCTGGGAGGATTCGGAGTATAAATCCAACTGCGAAAGCTTCTTTGACCAATCATCGAGAACAGGGAGCATTCCAATGGTGATCGGAGTGTATGTTGGACGAGGTCTGAGACGGTCACGCAGAAGGGAAGCCACACTGACATCACGATCAATCCTCCGTAGGCCATTACGGATAGGGTTTTCATCCTTGGAATGGCCTTTGTTGATATTCCACAAGGTCGCCCACACCGCAACAAAGAAAAACGAATGTATGTCATCCACTGGAGTGTGGAGGTACTTGGCATCCCTGATTATGGCATCACGGACGCGAGGGGACATAAACTCATAGGTCCCCTGGAGAATGTTCAGTGCATTGCACAGTAGGCTCAACATGTGACTTACTGAGATCGACTCTGCAGTGACTGTCCTGGTCAAGTAGCTGGGCATGTACGATGCAAGATCCCCATCTGAAATAATGGCCTGGCACTCCGTCATATCGGCAAACAGCCCGAGTTCCGCAATCTCCCTCTCCAGAGCCTCGGCAGCGGACATCACCTCCTTAACTGCATCCTTCAAAGCTGGTCCTGAATGTCCTTCCAATGCCTTGACTTTGTCTCTCACGGGCTTGCTGAGTCCCTCCATATTTGTATTGACGCCCATGATAACGTCATGAAAGTCTTTCAATTTGTTGATATTGAACGGTGCCATTTGTGTAGGTTGCACCAGCTTGAGAACATTCCCAATACTGACGTCTCGTTGCAAGTACCCACATTGATATGTCGAAAGCCACCCTACAAAGATCAGCATGGTCCTGGATAAAGGAGAAGCGAACCACAATACGAACCGAGCATGGCATGCAGAAGACAAATGCACAAATCCCAGGGGGTATCGCAGCACTCAAGGCTGCGGCCTCGATCTCGAAGAAGTGTCACCGTCAAACTACGATAATCCGGGATACTTGGACAGGGTAAACCGATATCTTTTAAGTGAAACTCACTCGCCTCCGACTTGGGACTTGGAAGGAAGTACGAATTGGTTGATTTATAACCTCTAGAATTGAACGGCTCATACGACGAGAGGAGAGTCGCAGTTCCAAATTCACCCTTTGAATGTCGGTACATGTTGCACTCCACATCTTTCTTCTCATGAGGAGGCCAAGAACCTTTCAGGATTAATGAAGAATTTGATACCTTTTCGTACATCCTTTGCTTTCGAGTCGCCTGGTGGTCATGGAATCGAATACCGAATGAACCACTGAAGTCATATGGGGACGGGAATACTAAATTGTGTTGATCACGTTTTGCCTAGTATAAATAACAGTTCTCTCACTTGAATCGTGCATATCGTTGTTCTTGTCGTTGGGGACTTGCCCCAATTTGGGTTTCTTCGACCCTATCATTGACAAGGTTAGGACGTCATTCACCAAAGATTAATTAATTCGCCTTGCCCGACAGAGATTCTTCCTCGACCCCCCGCTTTCGCGACTGCGCTTGTTTGATCGGTGGACAAGCGTCAATGGGAGCCGGTATTTGACTCTTGGGTGGCTTGCCCGTTCCTGACACCAAAGGAGTTTGGGGAACTGCTTTGTTGTTCGACGGGGAAAGTTGCATCAATGCCACAAAAGTGTTACAGCCACGGGACGATGGACGATTGTAGAGGACTTCCTGGTGAATCGCTTCGACGGTGTCGTCCTCCCCAGAGGGGAAAATGAACTTCTTCCCATCCGTGAACTCTGGAAACCCGGCATCACCAGGTGTCTGCCAGAGCAACATGCTCAGCAAGATCTTCATGAACTTGCGAATATCATGGGCTTCCCCATCTTTCGTCGTGAGCCTCAATTCCTTACTTGCAGAGAGGCCACCACGGTGGAAGATGAGGACACGAAGGGTTTCGGTAGCGTGATTGATGGCGATGGTCGCAGTGAATGAACGTAACGGAGTGTCGTTAAATTGAGCACGACCATAAGTACCGCTCTGGAGCAGCAAGTCCTTCCAGCGATCCTTTACTTCCACTGCCACAGCGATCCTCTGAAGATTCCGTTCACAGGATTTGGGTGGTTTGCTCCAGCAGGCAACGAAGTCCCCAGATGGCATGTCTTCAATGACCAATCCAACGATGTCTGGTTTCAAAGGTGCGGCGTTTTGTACCTTGTCGAAGGTTGGCTTATGGTATTTAACGAACCGGAGGGCAGGCCAAAAGGCTTTGCCGAATTCCTGCAAATTGAATTCCGATGCCTGGAGATCTGTCTGAATCGACCGATATGTGTCAGTGCAAAGCTTAACACACTCGTTGAGGAATTTGGTGATATTATCGTAGTTCTTCACTTCTTGATGAAATGGGCTGGGTTTTGGCATATTTTTGAACAACTTCCCCATGGCAGACTCAATGCGAGGGTGATCAATGAGGATATCGAAGTGACAGAGCTCCAGTAAACCGCCATTTTCAGGTTCATGTTTAAGAATCTTGGGGGACAGCATGCAAGCGATATCATCTGGACCGAACTCCCATGCATGACTGGAAAGCTCTTCTTCAACGTGTTTCTTCAGATCATGTTGAAAGACCTCTGGAGGAGGTGTCGTTGTCATTTGGACGCTGGGATGACTCTTCTTCTGCGGACTAGAGTGGGTTGCCGACATGGCATGCAGCAGTAGGACTCAGGCAAAAGTAGGAAGGTTGACCAGTGGTGTCGGAGAACCCCGCTCGAACAACACCGCAGAGTTAGATACATAATGGCAAACGTGAAAACATGTGTTGGTCTTCACATTTTCAAAGCTGGCAAGCTTGAGTCAATGACTCTGAGTCCCACGGAATGATAGTCAGTTGGTTCCAGCGTCGAGTTCCGGCAGAAGCGCGATGCCACAAAATTGGAGGCAAATCATTGCTAACCTCTCGGTGCTAAGAGCGTGAGAATGGACTTGAGGGATCAAAAGCATCTGAGCCCACCTTGGACAACCACTATGTGAGCCTTTATAGGGGGGACCTCAGGATGCTAATCAGTTCCGACCAACTTAGTGGACATGGCCCATGATGCAACGTGGGCCAGCGCAAAATGGGATTGCAAGAAAAGAAAAAATAAATATTACAACGGAGACAACAGTACCAGTCACAAAGGTGGAGTTGGGGAAGTGTCAGAGACCAGATTCGAGACGAGGGAGAGTCTCCGTGGTGGAGGGTTTTGGCCTCAGCGACTTATGCCAAGAGCACTGTGCCTAGTGACACATCTGTGCCCTAACTTACTGACTGGCAATCAGAACTGAAGGGGGGTAACTCTAGTTGATTTTATTACTGGAGTGTAACCTATGTACAAGTTGGATATATATATGGTTACAGCAAAGACGGGTCCGCAATTGGCGGAGCCGAACGGAGCGGAGCTAATGGGGTTAAACATTAGCTGACTGAATATTACCGACGAGTCGGGTTGCAGGGTTAGCGGAAAGGCAGGCGATAACCCAGAAACAGAAAGGAGGGATAGGCCCGAAGGTGGGCTCTGCAGGGCAGGCAAGTGTATTGCCCAGTGGAGGCGGGAGTGCGCTAGCGGGCATCGGAGCTGTCCGGAAGTCTTCGGGGCTCCGTACTTAGGGAGGCGTTGGTAATAAATTGAAAGGAGGGGGTGGTGACCATCGAGGGGTACCGAGAGGATTGCGGAATACGGGAGCTCCAAGGTTAGTGAGGAAGGAGCGGAGGTAGACCGGAGGGATTGGAGGGAACGGAAGTCGATGGCCGTTGATGGTGGCTGTCCAACTTAATGTCTGTGCACAATGCTGGTCACTGTCTGAAGGGGTGTCAGCACTGTTTCCCACGGCCCCAACACACTTTACACAGATAGATAGCCCCTTTGAATAGCTTCCAGAATATATATTTTGAGACTGAATTGACCAATAAATCATCGAGAAAAATGCAAAATACTTTTTTGGACGCGAGTCTTTGGGTTAGTGTGGCTGTCCACCTTGCACAGTGCTGGCCACTGTCCGGAGGGGTGTCCAGACTGTTTCCCACGGTGTCAACACACTTTGCGTAGTTGGATAG